TGACCCAGAAAACCCAAAAAAATGAAAAATCGCCATTTAAAAAACTCAAAAAACCAGGGAAAAAACAGAAAAATCAACCCAAGAATTTTAAAAAATCGCCCCAGGAAACCCCAAAAACCTAAAAATCGCGATGAAAAAAACGAAAAAATGGGAAAAATCAGCCCAAAAATTTAAAAAATCGCTCCAGGAAACCCCAAGATTTAAAGTCTCCATAAAAAAAGCCAAAAACGCCCCAAAAAACCAAACAGAAACAAAAAAAAAAACACCCCAGAAATCTCAAAAAAAGAAAAATCGCCCCAAACCACCCAAAATTGCCCAAAAAAATAAAAATTGCGCCAGAAAACCCAAAAATCACAGAAAAAACGGCAAAATCAGCAAAAAAAACCCAAAAAAGTCGCCCCAAAAAACCCTAAAAATGAAAATTCATCATCAAAAAACCCAAAAACTGCCCCAAAACCCCAAAAATCGCCTAAAATGCCCCCAAAAATAAAAATATCGCCGTGAAAAATGACAAAAAACGGGGAAATCACCCCAAAAATACCCAGAATCCGCCCAAAATCAGCAAAAAATTCCAAAATTCTGGAAATGGAGCTGCCCCCCCCAGGGCTGGAAATGGATTTAAAACGCCCAAAATTGGGAAAAATCAGCCCAAAAAACCCCAAAACCAGAAATATCAGCACAAAAATCGCCCCAAAGTCATTTTAAAACCCCCAAAAACCCAAAAATTTACCCCAAAAATCGCCCGCCCAAAAAATCCTCAAATATCCCCTAAATAGCCCAAAAAAATCCCAAAATTCCACCCAAAAAACCCTCAAATCACTCCAAAAATTCCCCAGAAAATTAGGAAAAAATTCCCAAATATTCCAAAAAAACCCCCCAGATTTCCCCAAAATTCCGCCCAACAAATCCCAAAATTCCACCCAAAATTTCCAAAATTCCACTCAAAAAATCCCAAAATTCCAGCCGAAAAATCCCGAAATTCCGCCCAAAAAACCCCAAAAATTCTGCCCAAAAAATCCCAAAATTTCATCCAAAAAAATCCGAAAATTCCACCAAAAAAAAATCCAAAAATTCCACTTAAAAATAATCCCAAAATTTCACCCGAAAAATCCCCAAAATTCCAACAAACAAATCCCAAAATTCCACCCGAAAAAATCCCCAAATTCCACCAAAAAAAATCCCAAAATTCCACCCAAAAAAATCCCAAAATTCCACCCAAAAAAATCCCAAAATTCCACCCAAAAAATCCCAAAGTTCTACCAAAAAAATCCCAAAATTCCACGAAAAAAATCCCCAAAAATCCACAAAAAAACCCCAAATCACCCCAAAAATCCGCCTAGAAATTGGGAAAAAAAACTTAAAAAATTCCAAAAAAATTCCCAAATCCTCCCAAAATTCTGAGAATTCCCAAAATTCCCCAAAATTCCCAAATTTCCCCCAAATTCGCACCTGTCAGGTCCGAGGGCACCAGGTATTTCTTCTTGTCCAGGTCCCCAATTCGGGCCTTGGGCGCCTTTTCCACGATCACCTGAATTGGGGAAAAAAAAAGAAAATTTGGTAAATCTGGGGGAAAAAATTCCTTTAATTTGGGGGGAAAAAATGGGAATTTGGGAGGGAAAAATTCCTTAAATTTGGGGAAAAAATGGGAATTTGGGAGGGAAAGATTCCTTAAATTTGGGGGGAAAAAAGGGGGAATTTGGGAGGAAAAAAATTCCTTAAATTTGGGGAAAAAATGGGAATTTGGGAGGGAAAAAATGGGAATTTGGGAGGAAAAAAATTCCTTAAATTTGGGAGAAAAAAACCTGGATTTTGGGGGGAGAAATTTCCTTAAATTTGCGGGGAGAATTTATTTAAATTCAAGGAAAAAAAAAAAAAAAACAAAACTGGAGTTTGAGTGGGAAAAAATCTGATTTTGAGAAAAAATTCACTTTTTTGGAGAAAAAAGTTCCTGGATTTTGGGGAAAAAAACCCAAACCTGAGCTTTGAGGGGAATCTGAATTTTAGGGGAGAAACTTCCTTGAATTTTGGGGGGAAAAAATTCTGAATTTGGGGAAAAATCTTCTTGATTTTGGGGAAGAAATCCCTGGAATTTTGGGAGAAACTCCCTGAATTTTGGAGGAAAAATCTTTTGAATTTAGAAGAAAAATCTTCCTGAATTTTAAGGAAAAATTTCCTTGAATTTGAAGAAAAATCCCTTAAATTTTAGGGAAAACATCTGAATTTTCAGGAAAAAAAAACCCTAAAAACGAAAATTGAGAAAAACTCTGCCTGAATTGGGAAGGGAAAACCCCAAAAATTCGGGAATTTTGGGGTTTTTGAGGGTCCTGGGATGGATTTTGGGATTCCTGAGGAGAATTTTGGGGTTCCCAGGATGGATTTTGGGGTTCCTGGGATGAAACCTGGGGTTCCCGTATTGAATTTTGGGGTTTTGGGGATGGATTTTGGGGTTTTCTGAGGGGATTTTGGGATTCCCGTGGGGATTTCGGGGTTCCCGTGGGGATTTTGGGATTCCCTGAGGAGATTTCGGGGTTCCCTGAGGAGATTTTGGGATTCCCGTGGGGATTTCGGGGTTCCCTGAGGAGATTTTGGGATTCCCGTGGGGATTTCGGGGTTCCCTGAGGAGATTTTGGGATTTCCGTGGGGATTTCGGGTTTCCCTGAGGAGATTTCGGGGTTCCCGTGGGGATTTCGGGGTTCCCTGAGGAGATTTTAGGATTCCCTGAGGAGATTTTTGGGTTCCCGTGGGGATTTTGGGGTTCCCTGAGGAAATTTCGGGGTTCCCTGAGGAGATTTCGGGGTTCCCGTTAGGATTTCGGGGTTCCCTGAGGAGATTTTAGGATTCCCTGAGGAGATTTTTGGGTTCCCGTGGGGATTTCGGGGTTCGCAGCCCTCACCGGGACACGGTCCGGGTACTTTTTCCGGATCTTCTCGCCCTCGCAGCGACGTTTCTCGAACGGATGCTCCTCCTTGTACAGGAACTTCATGGCCGGGCCGGGCCGGGGGCCGGGGCCGGGGCCTGCTCGGGGCCGGGACCGGGACCGGGACCGGGACCAGGCCTGCACCGGAGCCTTCGGCGCGCGCAGGGATACGGGCCCGCCCCCGCCGCGCCTGCGCCAACGGCGTACGCTGCGCAAACAGCGTAAGCGCCGCCTATTGACGGCAATGGTGCGGCGCTACGCAAATGGCGTAAAGGGCCGGGGATTACCTCAGCGCTACGTAAATGGCGTAAGGGCCTTGCCGTCAGCGTTACGGCTCATTCCAGTTCCTCCCAGTTCATCCCAGTTCCTCCCAGTTCTTCCCAGTTCCCTCTGTCACTTCCCATTGTTTTCCTAAGGCCTGCCCGGCCTTTCCCAGTTCAGCCCAGTTCGCTCCCAGTGCCCCCAAAGGGCCACGCTGGTGCGCTCCCCGCTACGCAAATGGCGTAAGGGAGCCGGCGCTCCCCTCAGCGCTACGCAAATTGCGTACGGGCCTCGCCCTTAACGACAGCGACTCATCGCTAAGGAAATGGCGTACGGTTCATCCCAGTTCCTGCCAGTGGCCCCCAGTTAATCCCAGTTCCTTCCTAAAACTCATCAGACTTTTCCCAGTTCATCCCAGTTTATCCCAGTCCATCCCAGTTCCCTGTACGGGCCCCGCCACTGCCAACAGCGCTACGCAAATTGCGTAAGAGCCTTGCCCACAGAGCTACGCAAATTGCGCAGGGTTCATCCCAGTTCATCCCAGTTCCTCCCAGTCCATCCCAGCTCCTCCCTGAGGCCTCCCAGACCTTCCCCAGTTCCTCCCAGTGCCGGTGACGGGGGAGGGGTCCCGGTAATGGGGAGGGGTCCCGGTAACCGGGGGGGGGGAATCCCGGGGAGGCCCCGGGCGGAGGCGCGGAAGGATCCGGGCGGTGCCGCGGCTCTCATGTGACTGACGTCATGTGACTGACGTCACCGCACGGGGGAAGGTCACGTGGCGGGCGGGAATAAACAAGAAGTCACGTGATCGTGAATGGGCGTGGCCAAAGCGGGGGCGGAACCATTGGGGAAGAACCGGGGGGGGAACCGGGCGAGTCCATTCCAGTCCTTCCCAGTTCATCCCAGTCCCTCCCAGTTTATTCCAGTTCATCCCAGTGCCCCCCATTCCCTTCCCCAGGCCTCCAAAATGTTCCCAGTCTCTCCCAGTCCCCTCCAGACACCTCCCAGACCTTTCCCAGTTCATTCCAGCGCCTCCCAGTTTATCCCAGTCCCTCCCAGTCCACCCACAAACGAGTCCCGAACGCTCCGATTTTGGGAAAATCCAAATATTTATTTTCTCCCCCTCTCCCCAAACCTGGGAAAGGGCAGAGGGAATTTGGGATCAACCCAAAATTTGGGATTTCCCCCCCCCCCGCCCCCCAAAGAATTGGGAATTCCCGGGAAATTTGGGATTCCCCCCAAAATTGGGGAATTTGGGGTCTCATCCCAAGGAATTTTGGGTCCCCCTGGGAATTTTGGGACCCCTCAGGAATGTTGGGATCCCCCCAAAATTGGGGAATTTTGGCCCCCCCGGAGCTCGGGGCCCTCACCCCGCCCGTCCCAGTAACCCCAGTGGCACCAGTAAGGGGTTGAGGGGGGGGGGCAGGAGCGGGGCCGGGGTCTGGGGGAGCCCCCTCGGGTTTTGGGGGGCGATCAGGGACCCCCAGACCCCCCGCAGGTGATGCTGGAGCGATCCCAGCGCTCCCAGCGCTCCCAGTTCGGGCGGCAGCGCTCCCAGTAAGGCCAGAACCACGGCGGACTC